GGGTATGTGCCTGCAACCAAGGTACATGCCCTTGACCGGAATCGAACCTGGGACCCTTGAGTCCGCAAGCCGACGCTCTATCCATTGAGCCAAACCACTCAGGGCTGTTCGTAACTCTTGTTGTAACTTCCTTTTTTCTGCTTTCAGTTCATCTTCCACTTTCTCAGCATTCTCAGCAGCAGTTCTAGATCTCAGCACCTGTCCCTCAAGCCGCCTAATACTTTGCTCCAAGGTGGTTATAACCTGTTTTGATTTTTTTTTAACCATTTTATTTTTTTTAATTGATTAAGGTATTACATGTGTGTCCTTATCTCCTCATTGCCCCCCACGCCCTCCTACTCATGCCCTCACCCCCCTTGTGTCTGTGTCCATTGGTTAGGCTTATATGCATGCATACAAGTCCTTTGGTTAAATTTAATTTAAAAATTTAAAGTATATTTGCATTGTTATACAACCATCATCACTGCTGTCTAGTTCCAGAACATTTTTATCACCTGAAACAGAAACTCTTTCCCTCTGAGGTTTGATGGTCTGAAAGATGCTTCTCTGTCTCTGGATCTGTTCTTGTTCTATTCACTAATTTGTCCATTAGCATCTCCGCATTTCGATGAACTGCAAGTCTGAGCCATCGCCCCTGGAGCACTTCTGCTGCTCCTCCTCTAACTGCAGCTTCAGTTTTCTAACCTGTGATAGTAGCTCTTCCTCTCTCCAGCAAGTTTTCGTAGCCTTACATCTAGAGGACCCTCCCTCTCCTGCGGACTCCAAGACCTGAGCAGCTTCCCGAGACACCACAGTGATGGCTCCAAGCACTGGTTCATGATTGACATCACCATTGGGAGGGCCGTCGGGGAGTATAACTAAGCCATGTTTCTCAATAAGCTCACCTCTTTGTCGGAGGCCTTCTTTAAGTTGATCCATTTTGTGCTGCAGCACACTACACATATGTTTCTGCCTTTCTAACTCCTTTGATTTTTTCATTTTCTCTATAAAATTTTGCCATCTGTTCCTCTTGTTCTTCAATAACAGCCTTGAGGGTATCTACCTGGTAGATCAAATTGTTCTTCTCATTGTCTGACTGTGCGTTAGAAACCATGGCTTTCTTATATCTTTCTTCCACTTCAGACAAAGACTCCCGCAATTCACTTAATGAGGTGTCTGGATCTATTGAGCTGCTGGTGTCCCTGCTTCCTCGTCTGGATGTTTTTCCGTTTAGAGGGCTTGTTGCTGAGGCAGGATTTCGAGACGAAGGTCTTGTGTAATGTTCGGCACACTGTTTGTCAGACTTCTCATCCAACTCGATTTGCTGCCGTTCTGGTTTTCTCACACGCGTATCTCTTGCTTCTGCCCCGGGCAGCCTGTTTCGCTGCCAGCCTTGCCTCTGCCTCTCTGGCAATGTTACTCAGAGCTTCATCTCTGCAGAAAATCGGTCTCTCTCTCACAGGTGTCTCTCACAGGTGTCCTTTTCCTTCCAGAGCCAGGAGTGCCCATCTTGTCTTGATCGTCTTTTAACTCTGAAAAATGATTCTGTCTGTTTTCAGTCCTGTCCCTGGACACGGGCAGTGGCTGCGGCGCTGCAGGGGAAGGGCCGGAATGCGGCCCGCCAGCCAGGAGTCCGCCGGGGCGAAGAAGAGCCGGGAGCAAAGGGCAAGGGGCGCGGAGGGTGACC